CCCCAAAACCCCAAAACCCCAAAACCCCAAAACCCCTATAAATTTCAGATGCATTGAAATATAATATGTTCGGATCTACTTCTAAAATAGTGCCCACTTGGGAAAATAACAAGACAACTGAGCCTGGTGATACATTATGAGAAAAAGGCCCAGAGGATAGCATAACCGCAATAAGGTTTTCAAACAGCCCGAATCTAGAGACAGATTCTCAGTTTATTTCATGCTCTTCTTGGGACGAGACTGTAAAAATATGGGAAATCAGCAGTCCTTTCGGTAAGATTAGCACTACTCCAGTTGTAAATTTTCATCCAGTTAATTACTTCTTCTTAATTTACGCTTATCAAAGACTAGTTTCTCTAAATAATTTTAAGCAGAACCTAAAAATTATGAAATTTGATTCTGAAGAAAAATTAAAGATTAGAAAATTCTTTAAAGTTCCTAAAACAAAAATTATAATAATCAATTTTACCGGCGCCCTCTATATTTACTGGCCTTCAAAGCGTTAGAGAGAAGGAGTAGCACTCGCAAGGAAATTTAGTAATAGTTTAATGCAGGAAAAAGCGTCAACTCCAGCTTAAAAGGAAGTACTTCAATGGATGCATCTGTGTTGAGTCATTGTTGGTCACCAGACAATACAGTACTCTTTGGAGCATGTGTAGATAGTCAAGTCAAGATGTGGGATATTGGGAAAGATTCGATTCAGCAGGTTGGAGTTCACGATTCTTGTGTCAAAGATATTTGCTTTTGAGAGAAAAATAATCTGATAATTTCTACTGGGTGGGATGGTCATATGAAGTTCTGGGATTTGAGATCAAGCACTCCAGTATTTGACATCTCGGTTGAGCCAGCGAAGATTTGGTCGTTCTCTTATTGATATCCATTGATGGTAGGATTGTTAAGCGACAATACCATCTTTGTTTTTGACATTGATAAAATTACTAAGAAGGCAGTAACCTGACCTGACAAAATATCTGAAAGCCCTCTTAAATACCAAAACAGATGAGTAGAGGTTTTTCCAGATGCAAAAGGGTATATAGTATCATCAATAGCAGGTAGATGAGGAGTAGTCAATATTGATTTCAATAACTTAGATGCCACATCAAATTCTGATTTTAAGTTCAAATGCCATAGAGTTAATTCGAATAATAACGATGCTTATGCAGTTCACCAAATTTCATTCAACAAGAAGTATAGCACTTTTGCTACTTGTGGAGGAGATGGAAACTACTTCATTTGGGATAAAAAGAATAAGAAAAGACTCAAAACAACAAGAGGATGTGACGCCCCAATTACAGCATGCAAGATGAACGACAATGCATCAATGGTAGCTTACAGCTTTGGATACGACTGGTCAAAGGGCTACAACACCAGCACACCACCCCCAGTCGGCCTATTCATCCACCCAACCACTGAAAATGAAATCAAGGGCTAAACCCTTACCATCAGAAAATATCAAAAATCTGTCTCCTAAACGGGGTTTTGGGGTTTTGGGGTTTTGGGGTTTTGGGGTTTTGGG